AAATGTTTATCTGTGGCCCTAATACTTAAATGACTATGTATTTTGGTACATTTTTATGCTTTCTGATTGCTTCCAGGAAGATGTGATCAGGGTGTGGTCTTCCCTTTTCACTCTTCTTATTGCTTAACTCAGAGTAACTTTCACAGGTGTTGCCTGTTTCCCTGGTATACGGCAGCTGGTATTGGTTCTTGCCTGGGTTTTTGTATTTTATAAGGTGTGATTGCAGCTTGGCTTTTTGGCAGTGGTTGCTGACTCTTGTAGTGTAATATAGGGAGACAAAGAGTCCTCCAAAAGCAGAAAGGAGGCTATGTAACAGCCAAACAACAACATTTGGGTTAAAAACAAAAACAAAATCAGAATCAGAAGCAAAAACAAAAATGGGAGAAAGAGGAAAAATGGAAAGGAAAAATAAAAAATATAAAAATATATGTAATAAAACCAGAAGAAAATAATGCAGCCCCAGTGAAAAAAAGACTAAATACAGCAATCTTTAATCACAAAAAAGGGAGAGTGGGGCAGAGAAGAAAAGGAGGAAGAAGAATGAAAGAAAAAAAAATCTGTAGCCTAATATAACTATGTCTTTAATGTCCTAAATCTCTTTCAGTCCCCTCTGCCCTCCTCTCCCTGCTGTTAGGTGCTTTAGAGTCAATTCCAACCTGTAGCAACCCTGTACAGGGTCTCTGAAGAGCGGCTGGTGAGCCCGAACCACTGACTTTGCAGTTCAAAAGGGTTTGCAGTGTGACATCTCAACCCACAGTGCTATGCCAGGACTCCTCTCAAACCAGTGTAAAAAAAAAGCAGACCAAATAGGACACACATCCGCGTCTCCCATATAGGGTTTCCGAGGAGCGGCTGGTGAGCTTGAACCACCGACCTTGCAGTTCAAAAGGCTTTGCAGTGGTGCCTTAACCCACAGTACTATGCCAGGATGCCTCTCAAACCAGTGAAAAAAAAGCTGACCAAATAGTATGCACATCTGCGTCTCCCGTATAGGGGTTCTGTGGAGCGGTTGGTTAGCTTGAACCACTGACCTTGCAGTTCAAAAGTCTTTGCAGTGACGCCTTAACCCACAGCACTACGCCGGGATGCCTCTCAAACCAGCAAAAATAAGCCAACAAAATAGGAAGCACACCCGCATCTCCCATATAGGTTTTCCGCGGAGCGGCTGGTTAGCTTGAACCACCGACCTTGCAGTTCAAAAGGCAGTTCAAAAGGCAGTTCAAAAGTGGTGCCTTAACCTACACACTATGCCGGGACCCCTCTCAACCCAGTGAAAAAAGGCCAATTAAATCCACGTCTCAGCTTGGGCTGAGTGTGTGAGTTACTGGCAGAGGAAACCGCCAGCGGTGAGGGTGGGTCATGGCCACTTGGCTAAGCCCCTACCTCTATTCACCCGAATATAGGTGGGCAAACTGTCAACGCACCTATTACCTGGCACCAAAGAAAAAATAAAATCGGAACCACACAAAATCGGCAAAGTATACTGTGCACCTTTATTTCCCCCCCAAGGTTGTGTTTCCATGGCATCTCTTCAGCCCCTATTTCATCCCACCACTTGGTCTCACCCAGGATGTGGGCTCAGGCCTCCGAACCTGGCCGGCAGATTCAAAAGTACGCGATTTCCCGCCTCAGCTCCAAATTCCCCAGGTTATAAGCCTTCAAACCTTTAAACTATTCCTATCTCTGTGGGTCCGAGTTTTGTAGCTCTGTCTTGCCTCTTTTTTGCCTGGAATTCTGAGTTATTGCTGACAGCGACCTTCACTACAACTTCATGCTAGCCGCCATCAAGCTCTGCCCTCTTCTAATATCCTTTTGACTATCTTTTCTGTGCTTTACTTTGTCTCTTCCTTTTCTGGAATTCCACTCCATAAGTTAATCTTCTTCATGTTGTCCCAAACCTTTTACTCTCTTTAAATTTTTTTAGTTCTTTTTCCTTATTGTTCTTCTAGTTTTCTATAATTGAGAGATGGATTTTCCAGCTCACTAATTTAGGCTATTATTAAACTCATTCAGTTTACTCTTGTTGAGGTATTTGATTTTTGCCTCATAATTTTGTTTTTCAACAACTTTCTTCATGCAGTCTTGATCTTTTATTATTGTAATTTAAATCTTTATTTAATTTTTTGTAGCTCTTGTTGAGTGTATGTAGAGTAGAACATAAATCAATAAAAACATTTCTATGAGTACAATTCAGAAGCATTAATTATATCTTTCATGCTTTGCAATTTTCTCACATTTTCTGAATGATTCTTCCCTTATTAGTGTTAACTCACTGCAACCTAAAATTTCTATCTAATCATTCAAGTTGCTATTGTCACTGTGATCTCAAATAGATACTTCTTAAAAGAGCACAATGCTCAAAGCCTGCATAATTTACTAATTAAGCTAAACTATTATTAAAATTTTAAAACATTCTGAATGTTTTAAAATTTAAAAAGGTGTGCAATAAGGATGCATTCTTTCACCATACTTACTCAACCTGTATGCTGAGCAAATAATCCAAGAACCTGGGCATATGAAGAAAAACATGGCATCAGGATTGGAGGAAGACTCATTAACAACCTGTGATATGCAGATGATACAACTTTGCTTCCTGAAAGTGAAGAGGACTTAAAACATTTACTGATGAAGATCATAGAGCATAGCCTTTGATATAGATTACATCTAAATGTAGAGAAAACAAAAATTCTTACCACTGGACCAATAAACAGCATTCTTATCAACAGAGAAAAGATTGAAGTTGTCAAGGACTTCATTCTTCTTGGATCAACTATCAACACTCATGGAAGCAGTAGTCAAGAAATCAAATGACATAATGCATTGGGCAAATCTGCCTCACAAGACCTTTTTAAAGTGTTGAAGAGCAAAGATGTCAACTTGAGGACTAAGGTGCGCCTGACCTAAGCTATGGTATTTTCAATAACTCATATATATGCAAAAGTTGGACAGTGAATAAGGAAGACCATAGAAGAATTGATGCTTTTGAGTTATGGTGCTGGAAGAGAATATTGAAAGTGCCATAGGCTGCCAAAAGAAACAATAGATCCATTTTGGAAGAAGTGTAGCCAGCATGCTGCTTGGAGGCCAGGATGGCCAAACTTCTTCTCTCATACTTCGGACATATTGTCAGGAGGGACCAGTCACTAGAAAAGGATATCATGTTTGGTAAGATGGAGGTTCAGAGAAAAAGAGGGAGAACGCCAATGAGAGGGATTGGCCAAGTGACAGCATCGATGGATTCAAGTGTGGCAACAGTAGTGAGGTTGGCCCAGGATCAGGCAGTATTTCATTCTGTTGTGCATAAGGTCACTATGGATCAATACCGACTCAATGGCACCTAACAACAACAACAATTATTAAAATGGAGTCCTGGTGTAGTACTGTAGGATAAACACTGGACTGCTAACCACAAGGTCAGTGGTTTAAATTCACCAACCATTCCTTGGAAACCTTATACAAGGTCATTATGAGTGGGAACTGACTCAAGGGCACTCAACAAGAGAAAAACATAGCTTTTTTTTTCATGTAGTGTCCTTGCTCAGGAATATTTAGTGAATATTTCAAATTTTTATTGAAGAACTCCATCCACTTACCTTTCTACACACACTTAGTTTCTTATTCTCCATTAAATAACTTTGTCATACCAAATATAATATGAGATCTAGTAGTATAGTGGATTATCAATTGGGCTGCTCACCACAGAAGTTTGAATCTACCAGTTGCTCTTGCAGTAGAATGAAGAGACTTCCTACTCCCATGAATATTTACAGCTTTAAAAATCCTATACAGAGTCACTGTGAGTCAGAACTGACTCCATGACATAAAGTTACCACCATCCAATATAATATTATTTCCCGCCACTTTACCAATCTTTGTTTTCTTGATTTCTACTAATATGCTATGCTTTCTTTGTATAAACTAATCTCCAATTTAAATTGTGGTAATCTCATATTTAGGATTCTTGATATAGGGTGCTATGATTTTGGAGTGCTAGACTTGACAATTAAAATGTCAGGTTTTGAATCCTGATCAATTTCCTAGTTGGTGGACTATGGGCAAGTTTCTTACATGCCTTGTGCCTCAGTTTCTTCATTGTGTAATGAGGATAATGTTTATATACTCCTCATATGGTTATTGAGATCTGGATTAAAAGCATGTGTTATAAGAATGCTTAGCAAATTCTAAACACTTAATAAATGAGAAATAATACAGTTTCTGAATAAGGTTAGTTTTTAATGTTTTTTTAACTTGTCTTAAACAAGTTGACTTCCTGAATTTATCTCACTTATGTATTTCCTTGATTTATGTTCCAGGGGCTTTGATATATTGTTTTTATTTGATAATTTGTTACAACAAATTTCTGTGCGAGAAGCAGAGCTTAAAATAGGATGAGGGAAAGAGGAAACGAAAATGAGTTGTAATAGAGTTCACCTGTATTTTCCTTGAAATCAGGTTCTAGTTTTGTTGATAATTGTTAGTTGTTGTTGTTTATTTCTTCTATATATTATTTTTCAAATGCATGGTAGATTTATTGTCATGAACTAAGTAATAATGAGAGATAACTCACTTTTAGCTCTGTATCATCCACATTATATTTTCTAAGTGTCCTGGTGGCACTGTAGGATAAGCACTGGGCTGAAAGATTCATTTGAACCACAATGTAGTGGTTCAAACCCACAAGTCACTCCTCGGAAATCTTATATAGGTTAGCAGTTCAAGTTCACAAGGCACTCTGCAGGAGAAAGATGAGGCTTTCGGCTCACATAAACATTTCCAGCTTTGGAAACCCTATATAGGGTCACTGTGAGTCAGAACTAATTCCATGACACACCACCACCACTACCACCACCATATAACTGGGTATAAACTTTAGTTAAGAAATGTTTTGACAGATGTGTGATTTACTTATTCTAACTCAATATAAGTAAAAAGACTCTTTTCTTATACTATGCTAGGAATGATATGTAAAGGAGCTTTACATTTTGATATTGTGTTTCCAGATGTCTGGGCGTGCTGGAAGACGAGGTCAAGACCTGCTGGGAGATGTGTATTTCTTTGATATTCCACTGCCCAAAATAGAAAAACTCATAAAATCCAATGTTCCTGAGCTGAAAGGACAGTTCCCTGTCAGCATAACTCTGATCCTGAAACTCATGCTGCTAGCCTCCAAGGGAGATGACCCAGAGGATGCCTATGCAAAGGTGCCCTGTTAACACTGTGCGAGGCTCTGTCTTCATCACTGACTTGACTGTAGTAGGGAAGCTATTCTTTTATAAGTCTGTACAACAACACTTCTTTTGTCAGTCCTTTCACACTTTGTAGATATGTACAACTTCTAGTTCACATCTAGTACCAGCAAATTTTAATTTTATGTTGCCTTTCTAGACTGACACATCATCTTCTTTTGCTTCTACTGCCAGTGTCACTGACACTTTGATCATGTTGTTGTTGTGTGCCATGGAGTCGGTTCCGACTCATAACGACCCTGTACAGGGTTTCCAAGGCTGTAAATCATTACAGGAGCAGAAAGCCTTATCTTTCTCCCGTGGAACAGCTGGTAGTTTCGAACTGCTGACCTTGCGGTTCACAGCCTGATTCGTAACCACTACGCTACCAGAGCTCCTTCTTTGATTATATGGATGATATTAATTATTACAAACTCCAGTATGCATTGCAATCAGGATTCTTACTTTTTGAGTAAGACTTCATTATGGGATCTACACCTATAAAGTAACAATGAATGAGTATAAGTCCCTCACTCCACTTACTAAAATTTTACCGGCAGTCATTGTAGTCTTCTGTAGTCTCTGACTAAATGTAGAATGAAAAAGAGAACAAGTTATAGAAAAAAGCATTTGGGTTCCTTCAAAAAGTAACAAAAAGTAAAAAGATGAGTATTATACTCTTCCTTCTCATCCTTCTTTCTGTCCTCCTCCCTCTCTTATTGTTTTCCTACTTTGAGCTAGTCCACTCATTTTATTGTAATTGTAAATTCATCCTAGTTTCCTTAAACTATCAAAATTAAAGGCATTTAGACTTAAGACTGGTGGTGATGAGAATTTTGTCTTTTGTTCTAATTCATTGACATTTTAGCGGGAAGTTGGTAGAAACCTGAACTGCTTCTTCAAAGCTATTTGCACTGAAAACCAAGAAATTATTTTTTTACTCTCATTTAAATCAACTAGCTCCATTATTTTTATAATTGGTCAAGACATGGCTTAATATACCTGATTTGTTTTCCAGAATAATCATAGTACTGTAAGCTCTTAAACTGGATTAGTTTTCATCTTTTCTTTTTCTGGGTCAGTTTTTGATTACTACTGTTGCAGAGAATAGCCAGATAATTGGTCCCGAATTATTTATTTTTTTACAATTCTATTTTATATGCTCTGGTTTTTGTTTTTGTTTTCTTTCAACAAGGATGTGTCATGTAAGATCATGTTAAAATAAATACAATGAAACCTAAATGAATCTTACGTACTGATGATATTTAACTCATCTATATATTATAATGTATATAGAAAATAACTGTATTACCACTTATAATTCTGCATTATCACTTATGAATATATTTCCTAATTCTTAACTTTCGACAACTGAAATTACTCTCCTCTAAAGGTGCTGTCTGTGCTAAAGCATTCACTGCTGTCCTTCAAGCAACCCAGAGCCATGGACATGTTAAAACTTTACTTCCTGTTTTCACTGCAGTTCCTGGTGAAAGAGGTATGGTTTTGCTTCCTTTTTTTTAGGAAATAATATTCTTTCTGTCTAGTTGTAGGCTTTAAGAGTATATATCAAAATTTAATATAACTAATGTGGTACAGTAGTAGAATTACTGCCTTCCAATACAGTAGACCCCATTTTGAGTGAAGACTTATAAGTGGCTAATGGAAAATCATATTTCATAATGAATGCTTTGTATCTACATCTTTCAGTTCAGTTCAAGCTAAATGAAAATTACAATAAGCATCTAACACCATTCCAAGGGAACGTGTGTCTTCCAACAGTAAAGTCCCATATTGATAGGAGATGCCTGACTGGACAGCATAATTACAAAGGCACTAACACTGTCCTCTGCTATTTCCACCCTCACCCCAAGTGCTAGGTATGATTATTCACATGCTATACTAGATAGAGAGGATCCCCTGGACCTCCCTTAATGGATGTAGAATGCAGGTGGCAGCCTGTTTTTTTTTCTACCCACCCTTGTTATTGTTAAGAGTGGTTGAGTTTATTCTGATCTACAACAACCCTGTATAGGCTTTCTGAGGCTGGGAATCTTTGAAGGAACAGGTCTCATCTGTCTCCTGCAGAGCAGCTGGTGGGCTTGACTGCTGACTTGGTACTTTCAAGACTACTACTTATCCAGTTAGTCAAACAATAAATAAATTAATAGTTGAATAATTAAGGAAAGAATAACTCTCAATCTCAGCATTTAATTTTGTAGAATTTGCTATCCAGACTTTTGGAAATTGTACTCATGGCTTGCACAACATTGTGAACCTTTTACTCTTATTAAATATGTGTGATATCAATGTATCATGTGCAATGTATATAATATCCCTATTGGATAAGTAATATAGTGATTAAGTTTTATATATATTTACAATGAAATCTTCTATATAAATATAACAATATAGAGTGATTTATAAAGCATATATAAGTCACTAGAACTTGTCTGCTAATTTCTCACACTGTGGTGGCTTGCATGTTGCTGTGATGTTGGAAGTTATTCCACAAGTATTTTAAATATCAGCATGGTCACCCTTAAGGAGCTCTGGTAGCAAAGTGGTTACAAATTGGGCTGCAAACCACAAGGTCAGCAGTTTGAAACTACCAGCTGCTCCACGGGAAAAAGATGAGGCTTTCTGCTCCTGTAAAGATTTACAGCCTTGGAAACCCTGTGCAGGGTCGCTATGAGTCGGAACCGACTCCACGGCACATAACAACAACAATGGTCACTCTTAGTGGACAAGTTTTAGTGGAGCTTCCAGATAAAACAAGACAAGGAAGAAGGAATGCTTCTAAATGTTTATCCATTGAAAAGATGAATGGCAGAGGAATATTGTTAAATATAGTGTTAGAAGTTGAAAACCTTATAAATAGCAGCAGAACATTGTCAGATAAAGTGCCAGAAGATGAGCCCTTTAGATAGGAAGACACTACAAATACAACAGGGAAAGATCTGTCTCCTCACAATAGACTTGACCATAATGACATAAATAGAGCAAATCTTTCAAGACATTCACTTGCTGATGGGGCAAAACTCAAAATTAAGAGAAACAGCTGCAAACATCCATTAATAATCAGAACATAGAATATATGAAGTATGAATCTAGGAAAACTAGAAATTGTAAAAAATGAAATGGAAGGAATAAAGGTCAAAATCCTAGGCATTGATGAGCTGAATTGCACTGGTATTGGTCATTTTGAATCAATTGTATGGTTTACTATGTTGGAAATGGCAACTGGAAAAGGAATAACATTGCATTCATTCTCAAAAAGAACATTTCAAAGTCTATCTTAAAGCACAATACTGTCTATGATAGGATAATATCCATATATCTACAAAGAAGATCAGTTAATAATACTGATCTTTATTATTCAAATTTATGCACCAACTACTAAAGCCAGTGTTGATAAAATTGAGGGATTCTGTCAACTTCTTCAGTTTCAAATTTGTCAGACATGTAATTGAGATATATTGATAATTACTGGTGACTAGAATGCGAAGGTCGGAAACAAAGAATGGCCAGTTGTTGGAAAATATGGGATTGGTGATAGAAATGATGCTGGGAATAATATGATGTAATTTTTAAGACCAATGAATTATTTATCACAAATAACTTTTTAACATAACTACTACATATTTTTATACATGAACCTCACCAGATGGAATACACAGGAATCAAATTGACTACATCTGTGGGAAGAGACAGAGAAAAAGCTCAATATCACCAGTCAAAACCAGGTCAGGGAAAGATTGGAACAGATCACCAATTGTTCATATGCAAGTTAAAGCTGAAGCTAAAAAAAATTAAAACACGTCCACAAAAGCCAAAATGATCTTAAGTATATTTAGAGATGATCTCAAGAACAAATTTGACCAAAGGCAAGAAGAGTTCTGGGATGACATCAAGA